CAGTTCAGAGGGGCTGGGCTTGGAGCTGGGGATCAGGGATGGGGGGGGATGGGGTAGAGGGTGCCCAGTTCAGAGGGGCTGGGCTTGGAGCTGGGGATCAGGGATGGGGGGGGATGGGGTAGAGGGTGCCCAGCTCAGAGGAGCTGGGCTTGGAGCTGGGGGTCAGGGCTGGGGGGGATGGGGTCGGGGGTTGCCCGGCTCACAGGGGCTGGGCTCGGAGCTGGGGGTCAGGGCTGGGGGAGTGCCCGGCTCAGAGGGGCTGGGCTCGGAGCTGGGGGTCAGGGCTAGGGAGGTGCCCAGCTCAGAGGGGCTTACCATGCCATTTACCCCCTCTCCCAGAGCGTCAGCGAGCTGTGTCCAGGAGCTCCTGCCGCTCGGCCCGCCGGAGCTTGCAGCTCCGTCCCCTTACCAGGCGGCTCTGAGCGGGAGGAGATCAGGCCATGTGGCTGCAGCACTCTCCAGGGCCGCTCCTGGACGCAGCGCGCTGAGGTGCCAGGGGATGGGGGAAGGCGAAGACGGAGGGGAGCCTCCGACATTCTCGTGGGGGCCCCTGCGGGGCCCAGTGTCTGGGGCAAATTGCCCCACTTGCCTCCCCCCCTCTGGACAGTCCTAGGAGGGGCTGGACAGGACCTAAGAAGCTGACCAGGTCCAGCCCCCAGCAGGAGAGAGTCCAGGCCTTGTGCCTTGCCTTTTTAGCCTTCTAAGACAGTGGTTTTCCAACTTTTTTTCTGAGGACCCAGTTGATGAAAATTGTTGATGCCTGCGACCCAAGGGAGCTGGAGATGAGGGGGTTGGGGTGTGGGAGGGGGACAGGGCTCTGGGCGGGGGGGGCACGCTCTGGGGTGAGGCTGGGGATGAGGGGTTTGGGTGCTGGAGAGGGTTCTGGGTTTGGGGGGTCTCAATGGGAGTGCGGAGCCGGTGCTTGGGGTGGAGAAAGCGCAGTCCCGTGGCCCCCCTGCCTAGAAGCTGTACCCACTGCTGGCCGCTGTCAGGGCGCAGCACAGTGTCGGAACAGGTAGGCACTAGCCTGCCTTAGGAGAGCAGCACCACCGACGGGACTTTTAACATCCCACTCGGCGGTTCTGACCAGAGCAAGGTGACCCAGTGCCTTACATGCCGTGACCCAGAACTCGGTTGTGACTCACGGTTTGAAAAACACTGTTCTAAGATCATCTTCCTGAGTGGAGAGCTGCTTCTTAGCCTATGTGCAGAGTGCCCCAGGTGGCACCTGACCAAGATTCATCACCGAATTTGGTCCTGGTTGGATCATTAGCTTCCCTGGCCCAGGTCAGGTACTGACATAAGAACATTCAAATGGTCATACTGGGTCAGACCAAAGGTCCATCTACCCCATCAACCTGTCTTCCGACAATGGCCAATGCCAGGTACCCCAGAGGGAATGAACAGAACAGGTAATCATCAAGTGATCCATCCCCTGTCACCCATTCCCAGCTTCTGGCAAACAGAGGCTAGGGACACCATCCCCGCCCATCCTGGCTAATAGCCATTGATGGTCCTATCCTCCATGAACGTATCTAGTTCTTTTTTGAATACTCTCATAGTCTTGGCCTTCACAACATCCTCTGGCAAAGAGTTCCACAGACTGACTGTGTGTTGTGTGAAGAAATACTTCCTTTTGTTTGTTTTAAACCTGCTGCCTATTAATTTCATTTGGTGACTCGTAGTTCTTGTGTTATGTGAAGGAGGAAATAACACTTCCTGATTTACTTTCTCCACACCAATCATGATTTTATAGAGCTCTATCATATCCTCCCCAGTTGTCTCTTTTCCAAGCTGAAAAGACCCTGTCTGATTAATCTCTCCTAATACAGAAGCCGTTCCATGCCCCTAATCATTTTTGTTGCCCTTTTCTGAACCTTTTCCAATTCCAATATATCTTTTTTGAGATACTGCGTGCAGATGTGGTCGCCCTATTCAAGATGTGGGCGTACCAGGGATTTATACCGAGGCAATATGATATTTTCTGTCTTATTATCTATCCCCTTCTTAATGATTCCTAACATTCTGTGCACATTTTTGACTGCACATTGACGGGGAGCGCTACCTGACCGCTGATCCATGCCCTGCAGCGGAGAGCTCATTTACGATAAACATAAAGGGAGCAAACTGCAAAGAAGGAAGAAGAGGTATTATCCCCAGGCTCTCAGCAGAGCTGTTCTGCACAGCTCACTCCTGCCCTACCATGGACTCCCTTGCTCTGCTCCCCCGCTGCTCCTCTATACAAGAAGAGCCAGTATGACAATGGGCTATTTGGGAGCTAGATGGGCACTGAAACGGCTCTATTTTTCTTTGGAGACTTCCTGTACAGTACATTTCCGACGAGTGATTTGACTTTGTAACATCTAAATCCAGTGTGTTTCTGCAGCATATGGGGCCCAACCATGCTCCTACTGCAGTCAATGGCATTTTAGGGTGGAGGAAGCAGGATCAGGCCCCACCCTGGTGAACACCGCTAGGGAGTGCACATTTCAGAGAACAATCCACACCCCAGCACCCACAAATGGCAACCTTCTAAAATCCTGCATCTAAGACACACGAGAGGATATTTTTTAAGCGCCCCTCCCCCCCCCCAAAAAAAAAGAGAACTGGTGGAAAGGGGGATAGTGAACACATTGTTCTATCTCTTAACCGTTGGGTGGAAGGGAAGACAGATTTCTCACTAGGTAGCCTGGGAAGAGTGCCGAGAAGGTGTCACCACTAATTTGATGCATGGCATCTCTTTTCCTGGGATATATTTACCTAGTTATCAACCTTCAACTAAGTAAGAAAAATCTACAATTGATTCTGTTTTCTGTTCTTTTCTCCTTTTTTTTTCTGTTCCCTCAGAATAAGAGGATGTTCGATGAAATTGAAAATTAGCAAACTGAAAACTGATCAAACAAAATACGTTTTTGTACAAAAAGTGTAATTAAAACTCATTGCTACATGAAGTTGAAGTGTGGAACTCATTGCCACATGAAGTCTTTAAGGCCAAGAATTTAGCAAGGGTCAAAAAAGAGATTGGACATTTATATGGCTATCCAGAACGATCACAATTAATAGTTCCAAAACATTTTGGAAGAAACATTAAACATCACGTATCATGGTTTAAGTCAATCTCTAACTATTAGAGACAAGGATCAGATCCAGTACGGGTGTGGATTATCCCCCACCCCTAGTTCTTGAAACTTCATCTGAAGCATCTGGCACTGGCCACAGTCAGAGATAGGATCATGGGCTAGATGGGCCTCGGGTCTGATTCAGTCTGGCAATCACTATGTTCTTTTCCCTTCTGTGTATTTTCTTCACTATTTAAAAGGATTCATGTTTGACTCTATCCTTTGTATCTCTTTTCTGTGATACTGTCCCACCACCCTAGATTGCCCCAGTGCTCCAGAACTGCGCAAAGAACCTCTCCCTTTCTGCCTCTTCAACACAGAACTGCTCTGGGCTGCACTCCCAGGAGGTTGAATGGAGAGTGTGGGACTGGCCCCGTGCCCTTTATCTTCTCTCCCAATCACAGCCCTTCTCCAAACTCAATGGCCTTCCTACAAACCCAAGGCACCGTCAACCATTTCTGAGATGCAAGAGACGTCAGGCCTAGCTGTTGTGATAAGGGCTAAATATCAGAAATTTTCTAATGGAGATTATGGCGAGACCAGATTGATCCCTTTTCAAGGCCAGTAGTGGGAGCTCTTCCATTGGGATGAATGTGCAAACCACTCTCCATTAGTACAGTCATTATGTGAGTAACATACTAGATATGACTAGTGGGAAATTTTCCATCAAAACTGTTTTTTCCATAGAAAATTGGGTGTTCAACTAATTTTTTTCATAAAAAGTGTCTGCTTTCCATGGGAAATTTAGATTTTTCATTAAATAAAGAACACACAAAAACAAATTTGATTTGGACATGCTTCTGCAGTGCCTATGAGAATTGTAGTTTGGTTACCTTAAATCCATAGTCTCATCTATTAGTCTATTGGTCAGGCTCACTGGTCAGACTACATCTCTCATGCTGGACCACAGCCTGGGACTCCCATGATGCCCCACTTCCCCAAAAAGAAGAGTGTAGTGCATCGTG